GCAGCCTGGAGTGGGCTGGGTGGTGGAAAGAGTAAGACAAGAGGCCATTTTGTTCAAGCCAGCCTGGTCTTTGCTCCCCTACCCCTGCCTTGCTCTCTCCATTAGATTTCTGGGACCCACATTCTTCACAGAACACAACTAAACAAATATGCTCATGGGTAAGTCTGATGGGGACCCCCCAAAATACCACCCCAGCTGCTGAAAATCAAAATCATCTGACACCAGGCTGTTGTGGCTACTGAATCAGCCCCAGGCCTCTCATCTACCATCCAGACAGAGGGCATTTATGCCCCTAGCACATCTGAAGAAGCCATGACATCACAAGTTTGGTGACTAGTGTGCTCCAGAGCAGTGCTAATAGAAATAACTATGTAATTTAGAATGTTCTAGTAGGCACATTAAAAATTAACATAAACAGACAATATTAATTTTAATGCTCTATTATCTTTAGCAATATATCCCAAATATCATTTCTCTATGTAATCAAGACAAAAATTATCAGTAAGCTTTTTTTGTACCAAGTCTTGAAAATCTAATGCTTATATTTCATTTATAGTACACCCTAATTTGGATTAGGTGCCTTTCAGGTGCTCCATAGCTACATGCAACTAACAGCTATGGTATGGGATAACAAAGATATAAGACATTTCCATCACCATAGGAATTTCTACTGCACAGTGCTACGCTGAAAGACCAAAAGGCCATGGAAAGGGGAGTGACAGGTTTAAATAGGGCATGCTCCAAAATTCTCTATAATTGAGTTATTAGAGCTAATTATGACAGCAAAAATTGCAACTACCAGGATTGGGATATTCTAGTATACCAGCTCTACCTCTAAATGCAGATTAAAATGGGCTTTATGAAAGGCCCTGGAACCATGCATGGTCTAAATGTTTGTATCCCCTCCAAAATTCATACGTTTAAAGTTTAATCCTCAAGGTGATGGGATTAAGAAGTGGGGACTTTGGGACACAATCAGGAGAGCAGAGCTCTCATCAATGGGATTAGTGCTCTCATGAAAGAGACCCCAGGGAGCTTGCTTGCCCTTTCTGCCATTTGATGGCACAATAAGAAGTCTCCATCTATGAACCAGGAAACAGGCCTTCATTAAACAGTGACTCTTGCTAGCAATTTGATCTTGGAGTTCCCAGCTCCTAGAACTGTGAAAAATAAATTTCCATTGTTCATAGGCCATCTAGTTTATGATCTTTTGTTATAGCAGCCCAAATAGACTATGACCGACCATACCTACATTGTGGGGGAATTGTCCCACAGCTGTGGAAAGGCCAACAGGTATGAACATTGCATCTACTGGTTGAGCCACCTCCTTCTGAGTTCCTGTTTTGTTCAGGGCAAGGGCTAGGACAGATCACCAAAGTCATGTACTTCTTTCAGTAACAATTCTGGGTTTGCAATCTAATTTGGTGAAGCAGATACAGAACATGATCAAATTATATGTGCCTGTGTCTGAGCATGCATGTGTGTTTGTGTGTTTTCTTGGCCAGAGAGAGAAGGAGGGTCATGTGTGAAATCCAGAAATACTAATGTGGTCGCCAAAATCCCCTCCTCACCAGCTGCCATCAGAACGCAGGGGAGCAGCAGACTCAAGAGGCTCATCAAAAATTGTGAGCCACAAAGGAGAGGTCTTGAATCCGGAAACAACAAGATGATGGGTACCCGGGCAGACGGTCAGGTGGGAGGGAGAAGTGGTAATCAGAGGCATTCTCCAAAGACAAGAGCTGCCAACTCTACAGCAAAGATGTCACCCTGATCCCCAAATCAAACTTAATTCAGAATCCCATGCAGGCTTTTGTGCATGGGGAAAGTATAATTTAGCCATTTCCCCTCTTCCAGAAGAGCCTTATTCTCTGGGGTCCCCCTCATATTCTGATCAGAGAGAGCAGAATCAGAAGCCCCTCACATATGGATTCAAATCCTGGCTCTCCCAATAGCTCCAGAATTTCTAGAGGGTAAAAGGCTACCATACCATCTGTTTGGAAGGAGGCTAGGGATTTGCTTTGATGATGCATCTGCATAGCAAGTCCCCTACTCATTTTTATTTAATGTTTATTTATTTGAGACAGTAACAAATAAAAAATACCTCATTCCCTTTGGTCTCACCATCGACCTTGGGCTAATCACTTAACCTGTCTGAACCTCCATTTCCTCATGTAGAAAGTTGCAATTGATAATACCCATCTCACATGGATGTTGTTAAGGATCAAACTGGGGCTTGTCAGTGTGAAGCCACCAAGGGCTCAGAGCACAACACCAGGAACTCTTTGAGTTCCCAGCAAACACACAAACCCCTGGATTTCTCCTGACAATGATTGACAGCTCTCTCCCCATCACCATTCACTCCAATAGCTTCATCATTTGGTCACTCAGCTCTCTAGCAACAATAGGGAATTGGGAATTCCTGGATGAAAAGGCACCATTTTGGATCTATACACCTGAAACATAAATGCGTATCATGGGTAACTGGGTTGCCTCACTGGTGGGCTTCCTCCCCCACCCCACCCCACCCCCACACCAATTAGGTAGCATATTTTATGAAGGGGGATGGACTGAGGATTCTGGCCTGTTGGGAGAAATAAATAAAAGACTTTGAGCAGGGGCAGAGGACATATTGCCCCTTTAAATCATAACCACCAAAGTCTGGAATCAGACTCGTGACTGGAAATTTCTCTGAGCATTATCTGTAAAATAATGCTTTCTTAGGGGTCACAGGGTCACTGAAAAGGTTTCCCACATGTGAAGTGCCTGGCAGACAGAGGGCAACAATAAATGCTAGCTTCCTTCCCAATTTATTTTCCTCCACTTGCCTCCCTCCTCCCACAAAATCTAAGGTTAGAGGAGGAGCCAGAGAACAGACAGTTGGTATTTTCTTATTGTGGATTTGGAGCACATTATGTATAGCTATCTGTACATACAGAATATCACCAATCTGGGTCAAGGGATTTGAAACCAATTCTATCCTCAGTTTCTGGGTTGTTATAGGCAGAGCTCTCTGGCTGCTGGTGTTAGAATCCTCCAGGTAACACCTGGCCATATAACCTCCCAGCCTTTGCTTTTTCCTTCTTGCTGCTCACATGGTCTCAGTGCCTCTGTGGTCTGGATACACGATTTTACAATTTATTTTACAGTTCTTGCCCCAGCTGCGCACCAACTGAGTCGTCATGCCAGCAACTGGCTTCACCTGGAAAACTGTTTTCTCATTTGTTCCTGAGATGAGCAGTTTCTCCCTGGCCAAACCTTATCACAAGGTCTAGGATGCTTTGAATAATAAAAGCACCCTCGGGGTGGCTGAATGGTCCCCAGGTTGGTGCCAAAGCAGTCAGTCCCCCAAAGTTCCAGTCTGACTTGGTTCACAGTGCCAAGTCCACCTTGGACACACCTCTAATGGGCATCTGTCAGGATGAGAATTAAGTGTCCATTTGCAGGATACTGTGCATATGTGGAGGGAGTGGGGTAACTGGGGTGGGGGAGGGTCTCTGCGCGTCTAAAAGGCAGAGAAATGGATGCCACCAGGCTTACGACGCTGCGCCTTCCAGCCCACCCCTGGCTTCTGCAAGTGGCACAGCCTCATGTTGCCCTTTGAGGAGAAAACTGTACGAAAAGCTGGGGGTGGAAGTGCAGTGTGGCACTGGGGAGGGGCTCTGCCACCCACTAGCCTCCTTAGTGTCCCCCTCCCACACCACCACTCCTCCAGTGTAACAAAAGGTACTGCCGCACAGCATTTGCAAAGTTAGCCGAAGTCTCTTGGTCTACCAACAAACAATTCTGAGGACTCAAAAGGAGGAAGAGAGACATCTAGAAAACGGTGGGAAAGAGCCCCTGGGAAAAGCACAGAAAACCTTGCCTGATGCACGTTAAGGCTAAGAATTGTTTTCTCCCTGCTGGCTGCTTTTCTCTCTGTTCTAAAGAGACCGTCCAAGAATCGGCTAAATAAAGGGATCACACCAGAGGATGCGAGATAATGCTAAACCAACAAAAACAAAGACCCAAATGAAACAGAGCGAGCCATGAGAATACGCGGTTATCAAAACTTTGTTTGGCCGTATCTATTTATCATCGCCGTACACCCGGGCTCTGCGGAATATCATTCTGTTGATGTCACTTATCCTCAGCAAAATATTTACACATCCTTAAAAACGCCAGATGAGGGGGGCTGGCCCGCTCGCTGCCGCAAGCTGCCTCTCAAGCCTGGTTTCTGGGCAGCCCAGAACGTGGGGGCACGAGGGTGGGTGGCACTAGTGGGCACAGGTAAGAGCTACCAACAGTTCCGGGAACGCGGCCACCCGGGCGCTACACCCTGCCCAGCCCACCTCTCCTCTACCTGACTCTGCAAGAAGCAGCCACATCCCCATATGGTGTCAGCGTCTCCTCCTCCTCCCCTGCCTTTCTCATTGATTAAGTTCCCAAACCATTGTTAAAGCCGGGTTGCAGTTCCTTAGAAAATAGGCTAAATTCAATTAAGCTTCCCCCCGCCACAAAAGGAATATTCACAAAAGTTTGGCAGGCAGAAAGGAGGGCTGACTGCATGCCAGGGGGGTGGGTGACAATCCGCTCCTCCAAAGCCACCTTCTTCCTTCGCACCCCATCCCTCTCTCCATCCATTCGTCGTGCCCCAAACCTACTCCAGGGACTTCTGATAGGGAAACACAAAGCAGCAGCTGTTTGGCAACATTTCTACCCCTCGCCAGCAACTGTGGTGGGATGCCATTTCCCCACCCAGGCGGAGCTTATCCTGAACAATAGTCGGGCTTTAAACGGCAAACAAGCAAACACACAGAGCACAACCCCAACCCCGAAAAAGCCAACGCGGAGAGACGCAATAACTCCCTCCGCAGCAAAAGGCGCCACTGAAACGCACGCAAAAAAAATGCAGCGAGGACATTGCTCAGTGCCTAACATGGCAGAAAGCCCGAGCTGGTGCGGCCACCCCGGGACTGGGCATTGGGGGGCACCGGGCTCCCTGAGCGCCGACGCACACTCACCCGGCTCCAGGAGGATGCGGGGCTGGCTGAGTGTCACAAAGAGGAGCCCAGCACGATCTGGCAAAACCCAACTTTCCACCCGGCTCGCCAGGGCCGCCAAATACGTCAACAGAATCCATCTTTCGAAGGGCCTGGAAGGCGCCGGGTTTTCCGGGCCGGGGCAGAACGGCAGATCCGGAGGCGGCCCGGTGCGGTGCCCGGGCACGGAGTCCGCCGCGCGGCGCCCTCTGCGCCCGGTGCCAGCGCGGGTGGCTGCCCGAAACCCACTTCGGGGCC